AGCCCCAAAAGTAGGCCCCAAAGCTTCAACACTGGGGTTGGTTGTCTTTCAAAGAAATGTTCAGTGATAGGGACATTCCTTTTGGTGGAATCTACCCGGGAACAGGGTTCCAGCAAGAAGCACCAAAAGTAGGCCCCAAAGCCTCAACACTGGAGTTGGTTGTCTCTCAAAGAAATTTTCAGTGATAGAGACATTCCTTATGGTGAAATCTACCTGGGAACAGGGTTGCAGCAAGAAACCCCAAAAGTAGGCCCCAAAGCTTCAACGCTGGGGTTGCTTGTCTCTCAAAGAAATGTTCAGTGATAGGGACATTCCTTATGGTGGAATCTACCCGGGAACAGGGTTCCAACAAGAAGCCCCACAAGTAGGTCTCAAAGCTTCAACACTGGGGTTGGTATTCTTTCATTCAAATGTTCAATGATAGGAACATTTCGGGCGGTGTAATCTATCCAGAAATGCAAAGACTTGCAAGGCTGCAGCCCCGCAATTCTTTCGCAACTTGGCCTTTGCGGGGTGCGCAAAGAAGGTTCTAACTTAGGTGCCTAACTCGCAGCTGAGAGTTGGCAAGCGCAGCGTCTGGCTGTTTCCAGAACCACCCAGGAGGTATGCCAGCAGGCTCGTTACCTATTTGTATACCGCGGGTTCCCCAGGAGGCCTATCGCGGTTGTTCGTTGTGCTTTTTTTTTCAATTGGCGGCCCGGGCGTCTCAATCCTTGAAGAAGTCCATGGTCAACACGACCGCTGTCATCGGAACCTGTTACGAAGTTTGTGCTTGAAACCTTCTTCTCCGCTTCGACTGTCAGAGAAAATCAAAATGTATTCACCGCAGCGCCTTCTCCGAGAGGACCCACGCCAAGAACCGGCGGTGGTTCAGGCGACCTACCACACTCAAATTGAAGAACTCAATTGATGCGCGCCGGCCCCAATGCCGCAGCGCCCATATGATATTTTGGACATACGGCTTACGAGTCTGCGCATATGCACCAGCCGCGCCTTCCTCCTCCCACTCCTCAAGAGTCGGTGGCGTGGAGCCCGCCCAAGAGCGGCCGATGTCGTGGCGGCCACTCTCGTCGGTACCATGCGGTACCCTGCTCCCAGCCACATTCGTCGACAGCCTGTCAAAACCACAAAGCACAAAACAAAAACTGCAACCTTTGAGAATCTTGTGTTTCAACGTTGAGAAAACATAAAAACTGTTGGTTTGCTAACTAAAGAAGCGTGCAGCGCCTCAACGTAGACCCACCACTCGCCACCAAACCACCAGACCCACTGGTGGCCATCGTGGGAATAGGGGCCTGCCTAGCGAAGAGAATTCGTATATTCGGTCACAGTTCTACATAAGAAGCAACTTAGCTTCCCATACCCCGATTAGCGCCTCCACTTCGACGCTTTGCGAGATTGTATTCCCCATCTCTCCGAAGCTTCCGAATCACTACAAATTGCAAGGGTCGCCGCAGCAGCGGATACTTGAAAGCTTGAGAAGGCTGCGCGCGAATCCTTTGCTGCGTATGATAGCCTCTCTCTCGCCGTATACATAAATACGTATACATTACAATCTATATTTACATACTACACATAGGTCGGAAACAGCTCGCAAGCTCATAGCAAGCAAACCGGGCGTTTTCTATCGATCTCCCTGTTCTCAGAAAATGACATGTAAGGTTCGGGTGGAGGTGTAATCTACCGGGAATGAGCTTCCAACCAAAAGCCCTGCAAGTAGGCCCCAAAGCCTTGCTCCAAAACTGTCCTTGTTGTCTTTCAAAGGCACGTTCAGTGATAGGAACATTTCGTGTGTTGCAATCTACCCGAAACAGGCGTCCAACAAGAAGCCTCAAAAGTATAGGCCCCAAGCTTCAACACTGGGGTTGGTCGTCTCTCAAAGAAATGTTCAGTGATAGGGCCATTCCTTATGGTGAAATCTACCCGGGAACAGGGTTCCAACAAGAAGCCCCAAAAGTAGGCCCCAAAGCTTCAACACTGGGGTTGGTTGTCTCTCAAAGAAATGTTCAGTGATAGGGACATTCCTTTTGGTGGAATCTACCCGGGAACAGGGTTCCAGCAAGAAGCCCCAAAAGTAGCCCCCAAAACTTCAACACTGGGGTTGGTTGTCTGTCAAAGAAGTTGTCAGTGACGGAAACATTTCGCGTGGTGCAATATACCCGGGAACAGGCTTCTAACAAGAAGCCCCTCAAATAGGCCCCGAAGCTTCAACGCTGGGGTTGGTTGTCTCTCAAAGAAATGTTTAAGGATAGGGGCAACTTCTCACAGGCAGCCGGCTTCCATCTTTTGACCGGAAAGGTTCGCGCACGTGTCACGCGCCGTTGCGCGGGTCCAGCGCTGTCTCCCACAGCCAGGCTGTATCGTCAAGATACCACCATGACTGGTGCGTTTGTGGATCGACAAAGCCTGAACGCAAGGGCAGAAGCGGGCACAGCAGTAGTGGCCCAAGAGCGCTGAGGCCCCAACGCTCAAAGCCCCATTCTTCAAGCAGCCATTCTCTCAGATGATGCGTCGGGGCCTGCTCAGTTCAGCTATTAGCACCGCGTGTTTTGTTTTGCGTTATCTTGCCTCGTGAAGAATTTTCAAATACCCCGCGACGTCAACTGGAGGGAGAACGTGAACCTTATCCAACAATATTCCAAACGATGGATTAAGGTGCCTCACAGTCAGAGCGCCCTCTGCTATGGCAACGTTCTGGTCCGCCCTTCCTCAACGATTGAGGCCCGAGCATTCTTGTTGTCATCCGCAGCGCCCTGATTGGTTTCCGTGGTTGGGTTGAAAGGGTGAAGCGCAAGGTGCCGTCATACATTCACATTGAAACGGTCGGGTTTGGGTTTGGCCACGTGTTTCTGTCAAGCCTTCGTCTCTCTGTTTCTCTCTGGCTCTTGTGTTGTCCTGCTGGATGGACCATCCTCACAGGGAAAGCAGAACCTGGTTTTATTGAGCTGCTCTAAAACTGCGCGCATATTTGGGCCAAACAAATGCACTCAGCTCCGGGCCCTCATGGCAGCCTCCCCCGCCTCCGCCCTCGCCTGATGGACGCAGGCGCCCTCGAAAGAAGACGCCAAAAAGCATCTTTCCCCGAGGCAAGGTGTTGGATGCGGTGCCTGCAGCGCCCCCGCCGTTTGCAGGGCTTGCGAAAAGCATGCTACGGCGGTCGCTTCCCATTTCTCTTTGGTCCGGAGGTAGGCATGCCTGAGCCGACGAATTGAAAAGTGGTCGAGCCTGGCTGCGCCACTTTAACCGTGAAACTGGCGCACTTCTAATCTTGGGGCCAAGCGCGCTGCAGCCCCGTTTGCGGCGACGGGCATCGAAGTCAGTGATGCCCCCAGTGGCCCGCCAATTGCCGCTCCCAAAGCCTCAGCTTTTTGGCGCGCAGGGTCGAGTTCAAGGCCTCTGCGTGCATCATTCAGCTCGCGGCGAATCTCAAAACCATTCAGGTGCGAGGATGGCTCTGGCTTGACAATCGCCTCTACCGACCAGCCCAGCTCTTCTAAGGCTGAATGCCCTGGACATCATAAAGGTTGAGGGGCCCTATGCCAAACATGCAGATTTAAGGCGCGCGCGCAAAGGTAAGGCCACCAGGCTGGCCCAACCTTTGGCTTGGCAACTCCACGAGAAGGTAGCCGTTCGGCATCCTGACGTGGCCAATTGCTTTTGTAACCTAGCTCTTTTCATGGGCTCATTTATTGTCGCGCCTTCAAAAGACCGCGTTGAAATTGCGAGCAAGATTTCACTAATGATGCGTGGAACGCTTGATTCCCAATGGCGCCAGATTCTTTCCAATGTAACCAACAACTTCCGGGGCAGGAGGGAATCAAATGAAGCCACACCCCCGGGTGAATGGATAGACGTGTTCTATCGACAAAGCGAATGTAAAAATCAACGCCCCAAGAAAATGCATCAACCGCTGGCTGTGGCAATGTGGATCTGTTCTGAGCAGTTGCAAAAATCCAGAGCCAAGTTGGCTAGAGTTATTCATTTGGGCCGTTGCCTTCTACGCAAAAATCCGCCCATATCTTCGGAGCCCCTGGTCCGATTTCTACTTAGCGCGCTTGCGGTGTGCCCTTTCCCGCGTCTAGAAGCGCAGTAGTTAGCCGCCAGCTCCCATTGGAGCGCTTTCCCTACACCTAATGGTCAAACATCCGATCTTGAAGGGTCTTCTGCGGCTTGTTTGGGGTCTTTTGAGGTCTTGACATTTCTTGTTCAGACACACACACC